AAAAACAGGGCAGGGACTGGAAGGTCAGGTCTCGAGGCCACTGCAGTGGTCTGGGCACAAGGTGCTGGTGGCTTAGGGAACAGTGTGAGCCTAGCGGAGTTAGGACTTGGACAGACCTCACAGAGCAGTGGGGCTTTTTGTCTGGAGGCCTGGAGCACACTCTCATTTTTCCTTAAGAGAAATACTGCCAGAGGGGTTCCAAGGGAGACTGCTCTTCCCTGAAAGTACTTTGTCTTCTCTGGGCTGCTGGGGCCCGAAAGGTAAAAACTGAAAGGCAACAAGGCCGGGTGCGGTGGCTCACGCCTATAATCCTAGCACTTTTGGAGGACGAGGCAAGACGATCGCTTGAGGCCAGGAGTTCAAGACCAGTTTGAGCAATATAGAGAGACCCCATCCCTACAAAAAAAAAGAAAAAAAGAAAAAAATTAGCCAGGTGTGGTGGCACACATGTGTAGTCCCAGCTACTCAGGAGGCTGAGGCAGGAGGATCACTTGAGCCCAGGAGTTTGAGGTTGCAGTGACTTGTAATGACGCCACTGCACTCTAGCCCTGGCAACAGAGGGAGACCCTGTCTCAGAAAAAGAAAAAAGACTGAAAGGCAGTTTGGAGAAGTTCAACAGGAGGAGCTCATCATTTTTGGAGCACAATAAAATTTGATCCTCATCAGTTCACAGGCTTTAGAGCTCACAACAGGTCTGGGGCGCAGATGCCACCTCTCTCTCACCTGAAGTCCTTGCCCTTTCCTTCACACCCTGCGGCCCTCCCACTGACACGGAGAACAAGGGAAAAGGACGGGATGTGGCTTCCCTGGGATCCGAGTCCTGCTTTTCCTTCCGGTTGTGCCTGGGCTGATGAATCCCCTGCCTGGGTTTAGTTCCAGAATCCAGCTTCCATTTCTCCTGCAGTGGGCATTAGCTGCTTCTCTGTTACCACGGGAATGGTGTTGTCCCTTCTCCAGCCAAGCCAGCTCTGTGAACAGCTTTTGGTTTTGAGGGGGAAGATTCCCAGGCCACCAACGGTCGAGGCATCTTTGGTTCACCAGGTGAGCGTTTATTGGCTGCTCCCGGAAGAGTGCTGCACCAGGACGGGGAGGAGGAAAGCACCAGCGTGACTCAGCCTCTCCCGGAACCGATGCTGTTGTTGGCACGGGAAGTGCAGCCCCCTCACTGACAGGTGTGGAGACTGAGGCCCAGAGGAGGGGAGGTGTTCAGGCTCAGCTGTTCCTCATTTATGGAGTACGTAGCACCCTGGGCCAGGCTGGTGAGAAGGCTTCCTGCAGTTACATGGGTAGTTTTATGACAGTGTTCAGAGACCGGGGCCCAGGCCTCTCCATTTCCAGTCCACAGCCTTCCATTGTAGCAGTGGTTCTGGGCCTGGCTGGTTCAGATTCATTAGGCTAGAGTACAGCCTGGCTTCCTGTCTCTTTTTTAAAGTTTGTCCGGGGATTCAGATCACAGCCAGGTTTGGCAGTTGCTGTAAGGGACCTGCTGCTTCTGCGTGAGTGGCAGTGGAGTGAGAGAAACAAGTGGATTCTGGAGAATGACGACTTGAGCCGGAGCAGGAAGAGGGTCGTGAACAATGGTCATCACTTGTCCGTGTGTGCCTGGCGGGGGAGCTGCCGGGCAGGTCTAGGTGGGACGTGGAGGCCTCTGTTTCCTCCTTGCTGAGCCTTGAGGGGACAGTGGAGTCTCGCTTGCTGTAGCTTCCTCCCCCGGCAGGTCCGCAGCTCTGTGAGCAGCAGGGTGAGTGGGAAGGCACTCACACACGGGCCCAGGCGCGTGCCCCCGAGCACTCCTGCTCACCGGCTGCAGTCTGTTCATCTCAGCTGTTTTCATTTGTTACTGTCTGTCTCTTCCATTTTCCTGAGGGGCGAGACCTGTTTTTTCCTTTGGTTACCCAAGAGGTCCCAGGCACTGTTGCCGCAAAGCACAGAGGAACGAGTTACAGAGGGGCTTGTTGGACAGAACAGCTGTTGTTTGTCTAGCCTTTGAAGCCAGGGGCCGAGAGCCTCCCTGGGCATGTGTTCCTACCATCCCCTTGGCCTTCCTGACGGAGGCCAAGCAGCTGTGGGTCTGTGTCCGCAGATGGTCATCCAAGACACTGAGAGGGGAAGATATTTATTAGGTTACCCCGGGAGCCTAGAATTGACTCTGCGCCCTAGTCGCTCTCCACAAGCCCCGTGCCTCCCATTCTGCAGGAAGGAAACAATATAATAATCAAGAAATCATTTCTCTTTGGCTCTGACTTGATTTGCCTAAGATAGATTCACCTTCCTTATTTTTTCTTATTAAAGGTAAATAAATTTTTCAGGCGGGGCGCAGTGACTCAGGCCTGTAATCCTAGCACTTTGAGAGGCTAAGGCAGGAGGATCGCTTCAGGCTAGGAGTTCAAGACCAGCCTGAGCAAGAGCAAGACCCCTGTCTCTACAAAAAATAGAAAAATTAGCCAGGAATGATGGTATGTACCTGTAGTCCCAGCTACTTGTGAGGCTGAGGCAGGAGGATCCTTCAAGCCCAGGAGTTTTAGGTTTTAGTGAGCTACGATGACCCACTGCACTCAAGTTTGGGTGACAGAACAAGACTCCATCTCAAAAAAAAAAAAAAGAAAAATTTCTTGAGTACATTAAAGGCAGGGGTCTATAGACTAGGGGTTATAAACCCTGAATTCCATCCCGCCTTTGCTAATAGCTGTGGCCTGGGCAAGTCCCTTCCCCTTTCTGGTGCTTGGTCTCCACCTCTGTAAATGAAAGTTAGAATCTATCCTGAGCCTTGCTACACATCAGAGCTGCCTGGGCAGCTCCATCCCTGGAGATTCTGGTTGAGTAGGTCTCAGGAGGGGCTTGGGCATCTGTGTACAGGGGTGTTGAGGTGTGTTCAGCCCTTTCAGTTGAGCCTGGCAAGGCGGGGTGACCATGGCTTGCTTTCAATGACAAGAGGTCGGGCCCTGTGGGAAACCGGCCCTTGTCCCTTCACTGGGTCTGGCATATTCTCTAGTCCCTCTCCTGTTCCTCCGGACTGGTCTTCGGCAGAAGAGGAGCAGAGTCGCGTTGCTTTAGGAACAACAGTGCAGAGTAGGATTAAAAATGCCGTTCCTGGATTTTCTGTTTTAAAGCTTTGGCTAAAAGGACCAACTTTTTATTTATTTATTTTACAACTGAACCCTGCCCTTAACTCCTCTTTTTGTAACCTGAAGGGAGACCACCTGGGGGTGACTCCAGCCTCAGAGAGATTGAGGAGCAAAGATTTTCAAATGGTTGTGTAATGTAGTTAGTCTCTCCATTTGGATGACGATTCTGTGATGGGTATTTTCCTCCCTCCACCCTGGCACCCTGGGTGAGAGTGAGCTGTGGCAGATTTAAATTTCTTGGTTGGTCCCCTGCTGCCCCAAGCCATGTACCTGCTCAGCCACATCCCAGCAGCTGCCTCCCTTGTCGCTTGTGCGTTCTCAGGGGAGGCAGACTCATTTCAGTATAAGCTCGAGCAAAGTGTAATTAGGACAGTAAATCTGCCGTTTAACAAAAAAGGTCCTCTGACAGAGTCCAAGGTTCTAGAGAAATGATCTGAGGATGATGAAGGAAGGGTGAGAGACGTGGCTTTGGTTTAATTGCTTCTAGCCTGGGAGCAAAGTCCAAGACATGGTAACCCCATTTACTGCAGAAAATGCAACAAAGTCTGTTATGTGACAGTCTGAGGTTGCAGGAGTATGGACATGACATTATGAAAGTCTTTTTTTTTTTTCTGTGCCTTGCAGTGTAACCGTAACCCCAACTTTCCACCCTCCATCACCATCCTTACTTCTATTTCTTAGTCATCTGCCACTTACCAGGCAGTGTACAATGGGCTGTATATGCATTTTCTTTTTTTCTTTCTTTTGTTCTTTTTAATTTTTTAGAGACAGGGTCTTGCTCTGTCACCCAGGCTGGAGTGCAGCGGCACCATCATGGCTCACTGCAGCCTCCAACTCCTGGGCTCAAGTGACCCTCCTGCCTCAGCCTCCTGAGTTGCTGGGACTACAGGCACGTACCGCTGCGCCCAGCTCTGTGTGTGCATTTTCTCATTCAGTCTGCACAACAGCCCTGTGAGGCAGCCTTGTGATCCATAAAACCACATTTTATGGATGAGAAAACAGGTTTAGAGAGGCAAGTGACTTGCCCAGGGATGCACAGCGTGTGAGTGGAGGAGCTGGATTGGAAGAGGTCGTGCTTTTAACCTCTGTGCTGTGCTACTGCTGCTCCGTCTGAGGGAGCCACAAGCCACGACACTGAGCTCAGAGTTACACTGCCACCACCACCCAGGCTGTCATCCTATTCCTTACATTCCTTCTTGGCTAGGTCTGTACGTCTCTAAACCCTAGGCTTAGTGGCCACCAAGACACTGCTTGACACCACTGAGATACCATCTGGGCCACCTCTTGGCTAAGGAGAACTGTACATGTCAGTCTAGACTAGCCACCTGGCTAGTTCTAGTGCTGGTGCTCAAGGTGCAGTGGGCAGTGAGACCTTCTGTGGGGAAGGGGCTTTTGGGCAAAAGAGGGCCCAAACACCTGGACTCCATTTGTGGTCTCTCCTGCAACTCACCTGGGTGGCTGCAGACAGGCCATTTCTTCCCCTGAGCCTCGGTGTCCCAGGCTAGAAAATGAAGGTCAGTGGGGGCCTGTGGGAATCCGAAAAGTGCCTTGGGTTCCCCAAAGAGGGATAGGTGTCTGTCTCCTTTCCACACCTTTCCATAGGAAGTCTGCCTGCAGCGGGACACTGCCTCCTCCAGAAAGCACCTGGCCTTGTTCTGCCTGCTCAGCATTTTCATTGCTAAATTTACAGTGTTAGTTTGCCTTCTTTATGAATGTTTTTAAAAAAATACTGGATGCCTTTCCTGGAGGGTTTCTCCTGTCCAGGTGGCCACAAAGCTCCTTAAGCTCAGGGTGTGACCCTGCCTCTCTGTGCTGTGGCTGCCTCTCTCCCAGTTGTTTTCGCCCAAATTGATCAGGCCCGCTCACCTCCGACAGGCAGGTCCTGCTGGCTTTCCTCTGGTGACCATCCTGATCAGCTGAGCTTGCTCTACTCTGCAGTTGTTTCCCGGCTCTGGCTCTGTAATCTCTGGGACCTCCCTCTTTCCTGGGAAGATGTTCCTGGTGGGCCTGACTGGGGGTATTGCCTCCGGCAAGAGCTCGGTGATCCAGGTGTTCCAGCAGCTGGGCTGTGCGGTGATTGACGTGGACATCATTGCCCGGCATGGTGAGTTGGAGGGGACCGTGGGGGGTTGTACATGGCAGCTCCCCTGTGCTTCCTTTCTTCCATTGCGCCTCCCTTTTTGTAAGTCTCATAGGAGAGGAGGGCTCCTGTGGGCCCTGGTCTCACTTCCCGTCCTACCCCTGCCCCTTGCTTGCCCGCTCTGCCTGCTCTTTGCTCTTCGCTCTCTTTAGAAGCCCCACCCCTGCCCCAGCTTGCCCTGTTACCCGTGAGCTCTGTTCTTTTCCTTAACTGCTTTCCTTCCCCTCATTTGTTTTTGCTTCACCTGAAAGAAGCACCCTGGGTTCCCCATCATTTTGCCTCTAGTCATTTGGGGTCCTCTGGCTGGCTGGAGGGCTCCAGAGAGTGACCCAGCCTCCTCTTCATGCCACAGTCGTCCAGCCAGGATACCCCGCACACCGGCGCATCGTGGAGGCCTTTGGCACTGAGGTCTTGCTGGAGAATGGTGACATCAATCGCAAGGTCCTGGGGGACCTGATCTTTAACCAGCCTGACCGGCGGCAGCTGCTCAACGCCATCACTCACCCTGAGATCCGAAAGGAAATGATGAAGGAGACCTTCAAGTACTTCCTCCGGGGTAAGACCCAGGGACAGGGACAGGGGTAGGGGCAAAGCCCTCTTCTTCTAGGGCCAGGACCCCTCACCTCTGCAGGAAGTCTGGCCAGGGGAGGGAGCTGGTTATCCCCGCTGGTGAGTTCACACTGCTTATGGCATCCCCCTCCATGCAGAGCCCCGTACCAGCCCCAGAGGAAAGAAACACACGTCCCTCAACTCTTAAGGAGGTTGACAATTTAATGAGAAGAGACACATGAGGTTTTTAAGCCATGATCCCAGTAAGTAAGTTGGTTTTTCTAATAGGGATGGGAGTAATAATAGCTGGTATGGAGTCAGAGACCTGAATTCAAATCTTAACCCTGACATCGTCTAGCCTGTGACTTTGTCGCGGGATCCAATCCCACTTCTGTGCTATGGGGATAATAATGCCAATGTGAAAATCTGTTAGGAGAACTGAGAGTCCACATCAGTGACAGTTATTACACAATTATAAACTGCAGTCAGTAGTTTTGCTGCTGGTTCAGCCACCTGGGAAAGCAAGGTTGTAGCCTGGAAGTTGGGGAGGGACCAAGATGGCCAGGGCAGGCGGAGAAGGGGTTCCAAGTGGAGGATAATTCTCTGGGGCTAGAGCCCCATGGAGAGGGTTAGCTTGGCAGGTGCAGGGACAGGCAGGTGATGTGCCAAGACTGAAAGGAGGGAGAGTATTTGAAAAGCAGGGGTCTGGGGTCAGTTAGCAAGAATCTTCTCCCAAGCATATGCCGTGGTTCAAGCCCTGTTCTTCAAGACGGTATTGAGCAGGGTGACCTGACTGTCCTAGATAGGGTTGGTCACCAGGAAAAGTGGTAGGGCAGAGAGCAGTGTCTCAGGATCAGCCAGGAGGCTGGCCTGGGGCCGCTGGAGATCTGCCTGTCAGCCCTTGGCACACGTGGCCTCCAGCCTGAGCCTCTGAGTTAAAGGCCTGGCCGCCCATCTCCCCACTGTCAGGCACGATGCTGAGACTTTCTTTCCTGGAGGATATGGGGGAGCCTTTTAGATTTTCCTCGGGCTTTTGCACTGTGACCATGGCCAAACCCCTCCCCTACTCTGTCATGCCTCAAGTGGGGAACCTCCCCCCACTCCCATTCCCCTCTGGCCAATCCTTCCCTCCAGAAGAGGGATGACTTGACAGACATCCATGATGGTGACCCTCCCTTCTCCCCTCCGGCCAGGGCTGGAGCTGGCTCCGGGGTCCTCCCCGCTGGACCCACTTTGCTCTTCATCTCAGCACCTTGCTACAGGCCTCCTTCCCTTCCTCCACCCTCATGAAGTCTCTGTCTCTTTCTGCCTTTGTCCTGTCTCCTGTGTCTGTGCCAGAACCCCTCCTGTCCCCCACCCAAGAGTGCAGCCTTCTGCCTTTCATTCCTGCCCTTTCGCATTCGCTCCCAGGCCGATTGCAAGTGCATCTGCAGGGCTTCAAGGCAGCAGCAGCTCTCCCCTTCTGAAATTAAGCACTGGATAATGTCACCCGCTCCAGAGCTGTCCCTCTGTGTCATCCACCCAGCCTCCCGCCTCCCCAACCACCACCACTTAAATAAAAGCCAGAAAGCGCTTTTCAGCTCGATAAGGTGAAAAATGGGGACGACAGCTGTGGCTTCCACAGTCCCAGTTTTCCCTGATGAGTATAACAAATACAACTGTCAAAGTCGGTATAATCAAACGTCAGATAAGATCACCAGCTGTTGGGGACTTCTCTGTGTAGGCAGGCGGATGTCTTAATAGAGTCAGGATGGTTTGCAGAGCTTATCAAGCAGGAGGGATGTGACAGCTGAATAGCCCTTTGCCGGTGACCCTGAGAGCTTGCCATGAGCTCCCAAGAGGGGCCCGAAAAAGGACAGTGAGGGGAGAGGAGGCAGCGGGAGCGGAGCAGGAAAGGGAGATAAGAGGCCCGGAGAGGATCTGGTCTTGGCTCCTGCTCCCAAGTTTGGGGGTGGGGGAGCTGGCCTCCCTCCTGCAGTAATGGCCATCATTTATGGTGCACTTAGGAGGGGCTGGGAGAGGGGTGCTGAGTAGGTTACATGCATTCAAAGCTCATTTCATCTTTACCCTCATCCTGTGAAATAGGTATTCTTTTCACTCATTTACACAGAGGTTTGTTAAGGGGCACAAGGTCACATGGTGGGGAGGTGGGGAGCTACCAACCAAGGCACACACCATCAGAGCCATGCTCTAACCCCCTTGTTGAACTGCAGGCTTCTCTTGGGCTTCCTGAGCAGCAGGTCCTGGGGACCAAGAAACCAAGCAGCTGGGGTTGTCACCCCCATTCCCTGTATCACCTTGAGTGCTAGTTTCCCTTGACATGCCTGGAATTGGTGTGATGTGTGTCTGGTTCTGTGGTTGGAAGTGTTTGAAGTGGGACACTCCAGGGGTGCAGCCTCCTGTCCCTTACCCTCACTGCTCCCCTGGACCCCTCCCAGCTTGGTACACAACAGGGGTCACTGATGTAAAGAGAACTAGGAGCATGTGGCCCACGGTGCTTCTGGGCAGCAGCTGTGGTTGTGCTCACTCATGGTGGGTGGGGGTGCCGCCTTCGGCCTTGGCTCACAGTGGGAGGGCCAGCCAGTGCCTCTTACCCCGCTGGAGTGGAGTTATGCAGTAGTCGTGAGCAGCCCCGCTGCCTCCAGACCCAGGCCTTACAACTCCTGGCCGAAAGTCTGCCTCCGATGAGAGAGGCAGCCTCTTTCTTTCCTTCTAGGGTTGCTGCTGCCACCACCCATACAAGTCTCTCATGGAGAGTTGGTAGAGCTAGCCAAACATGACTCTTTACAGTAGGGGCCAGGCTTGGACCTGGCTCTGGGGGGAGGATCTATCCTTTTGGGAGGTTTTTTGAGCAAAGGTAGATGAAGTAGCGCTGAAAGGGCCCAGCTACTCCTGGCAACTCTCCCCAGTCTCCTGCAACTCTGTGTCATTTCCCTGCTGAGAAATAACAACTCTTGGGTTCAAGATCAAGGTGAACTAAACCCTTTGTGCCTGCCCTGACCACCTCCTCAGCGTTGCCTCACACTGCCTGAGGCCTCTGCTTCAGCCGGCACAGTAGAGCCTCCCAACTCCGTGTGCTTTGCAGGTCCTCCGTCCTGGAATCCCCCGCTCCACCTTCTCATTTTCTAGTATCAAAAGTCCTACCTACTTTCCAAGGCCAGCATAAGCGCCAGCCCTACAAGGTCTTCCCTGGTGAGCCAGCCGGAATGATTTCCCCGCAGCATTCCGTGCTGGATGGCATTGGAACTGGCTAGTTAGTGTTCAGGGTCGGTCTGTCCCTGGAAGGTCTGCCCCTCTGCTGAGCACTCTAGACGGTGGGGGCCAACAGTTTCGTCTCTGTTCCCTCACCCAGCACATAATCAGTTCTCAATGTGTGCTTGCAGAATTGAACTTGTGGGTTCTCCAACCTCTGTGCAGGATACCGCTATGTGATTCTGGATATCCCCCTGCTGTTTGAGACCAAGAAGCTGCTCAAGTACATGAAGCACACAGTGGTGGTGTACTGGTGAGTGTGTAGCACGCTGAGGGCGGGAAGGAAGACCCCCAGGAAACGGCCCACATCACTTTTCACTTTGCCCTTTCCCCACAAGGCAACCAGGAGGCACAAGGGGTTTGGGCAGCAGTGTCCAGAGTCTATAGAGCCAACCTCTGCACCCAGATACTCCTGGGGGCAGGTGTGGGAAGTGACGGGCCCCCAGGCTTCTCTAGAGTTTGGGGAGGGCTCCCCCTGCTGGCCGCTGGGGGCACTGCCAGTTGCCAGGCCTCACCCACGACCCTGTTGTTACTCAGCGGCTCCCTTCTCCCTCCAGCAGCGCTTCACAACTTTCCAAACAACTCCCACACTTGTCACTTCAGCATGAGGCGGTCAGGGAAGAGCTTGACATTTGAGTTATTGAAGATAAAATCAAAGGGGGGAGTTACGGAATTTGTCCAGGGTCACCCGAAGTTGCATGGAGGGGACTGGCAGAGCCCAGCCAAGCAGGGAGCTTTGTTCTCAGAGTCCCCCAGGACATGAAGCAAACCAGAATCCAGGTTTAGCAAACAGGAGGATCAAACCGTGGGAGAAAATGAGTCACAGCCCCAGTGGGTGGGAGAGTACATGAGGCTACAGGGTGTCTTTGCCACCCAGAAACTTCCGGATGCCACCCACAAGTACAGCAGACACATAGGTGGGCACTTGGCTCTGCAGGTATTTTGGGCACAGGGTGGCTCTCAAAAGACTCATGCGTTGGAGGCCCCTCTCCTCAGGTGCCCCACAGGCTGTCCTTGAAAGCCCAGTCTGAATCCCTAGAGCCTGGTCAGGGGGACTCCGGGTGTCCTCTCAGCTCCCCTCCTGGGTCATGTCTCCCTTCGTAAACCTGCGGCCTCTCTGCGTTCTTTGTTCCCTGTTTGTGAGACTATCAACCGAGGCCAAGTATACCCCACAAAGACCTGGAATTCTCTTTGCCTTAGTAATACAATTGGAACTTTGTACCTAGGGATAAAAATTTTTTTAAAAAGGATCTTAGGTCTTGAGAGTGTAGGTGAGAAGACAGAACGGAGGCCGATTGCATCTGCAGTCACCGGTGCCTACCCCTGCCACCTTCCTCTTCCTGCGCTTTCCTTTGAGGTCGGTCTGTTTGCTGAGTGAAGAGATAGCTGTGGCTTCTGGTGGATGAGTGAGGCTGTGCGGGTCCTGCCTGCTCTCTGGGAGATCTTTAGCCCCACTCACTAGCCGGAGGAGCCTTGCCAGAATCCTGGGCGCTGTCCATGCCCCGCTTTCAGCACCTGTGGGTATACAAATGCCGAGAGATGCCAGAGAGAAGAGTATGTGATTATTTGCTTTTCACCAAAGGGATCTACGCTTTACAAAAATAAGGATCCCCTCATGGATTTCTTTAACTGGCAGACTACTGGTGCATTTGAAATTACACAGGGCATTTCCCAAAGTGTGATTATACCAGAACATGATTATTCTTGTTTTTGAGGAATTTGTCAAGTATAAAATAAACATTTGGGTAAAAATCCCATTACTACAATAGCACCAAGCTTTAAACTAACTGCAATGGAGCATTTCTGAGCCCCAGGAAGGGCTGTTGGAAGATGCTGTCTTCACATCCCAGGAGGCCCTGTGGTCTGGACCACACCTTCAGAAGAATGTGCACCCACAGGGACCCCTAAGCCGTCTCCATTCTCTCAGCCCCTCCTGCTCTTGTTCCCATCGAGGGGCTGAGGAGCTCATTGAGGTGAGAGGTGGCAGAGACGACCCCATGCCAGTGGACTGACTGGAGCCAGCCAGGCCTGGCCGTTTCTGGGAAGCCAAAGGCAGGAAAGGGAGTTTCCTAAGGAAGGACCCAGATGGCAATATCAGGGTGGGTGAAGGAGGTATTCTTTGAATTTCCGTTGGACTTGGGAGACCAAGTGTTGTTCATCCTAATCTGCAGTGCTTAATCCTATCCCAAGACTGAGGGCTCCAATTCTTGAGTCCTTGCTCCTCTTTGAAGCCCCTTGGGCTTGCCCATCCCACATCATCAGTGGCGTCGGGCACAGCAGCCCCTTTCTCAGCACCGTCCTTGTGCTCTAGGTATGCAGGGTTGCAGGTGTAGAGGCAAGGAGAGGGTCTTTGTGGGGCCCAGAGAGCTATTTTTGATGCTGCAGGCCCAGGCCCCCTGGGGGACTACAGGAAGTGTCTAGCTTGCAGGCACAGGCCTTTCAGTAAAGGTCACCCATCCGGGGATCTGGGATATCGCTAGTTCGGGTGATCAAATCCTCCCATCTTATGACTGGGGAATCTCATGCCTAGTGGCAAAGCAGAGAGACCCCAAATGGCAAAAAACAGCCACCGATCCTTCCCCTCCTTTTATAGTAGGGGGCTTAGGTGGCCCATAGAGCTATATGGTCCCCCCAAAGAGTGGGGTGACCTGGGAGGGAGCCAGTGAGCTTCCAGGCTTCCCCCCCTCCCCCGGCAGTGGGACTGTAGCCCAGAGCAGGGTAGGATTCAAGGGAAGATCCAGTCCCCAGGCTCTGTTCCAGGCTGCCCACCCCTGTAACTTGCTGGTGAGAGGTAGGTGGGGACCTACAGTGCCTTTTTGCCCTGTCCTTAGTGACCGGGACACACAGCTGGTGCGGCTGATGCGGCGGAACAGCCTGAACCGCGAGGACGCAGAGGCCCGCATCAATGCACAGCTGCCCCTGACGGACAAGGCCCGCATGGCGCGCCACGTTCTAGACAATTCAGGCGAGTGGAGCATCACCAAACGCCAGGTCATCCTCTTGCACGCTGAGCTGGAGCGCTCCCTGGAGTACCTGCCGCTGAGGCTCGGAGTCCTCACAGGTCTGGCTGGCATTGCCGGCCTCCTCTACCTTCTCCTCCGCTACCTTCTGCCTTACCCCTAGCTGGGCACGCCAAGGCGGGAAGCCCCAGGCCTCCATCTCCTTGGAGGCCGAAGCCAGGTAACACATCCTGTTTCCTCCCAACCCCCTCAACACACACACACACACACACACACTCCCTCCCTCCATCTCTCTCTCTCTCTCTCTCTCTCTTTCTCTCTCTCTCTCTCTCTGAATCTGGGCTGGGCCCCTGCACTGGGCTGATCTTGCTTTGGAGTGCATCCTGTCTGAGGCAGAGAAACAGCCCGCTGTCAGTAGGTGCTCTTACCCACCTTTCCCAGGCCACCTTCCTGCTCTGGCACCTCCTACAGAGCAGTGTCCACCATGGTGCATGAGAGCAGCAGTCAGAGGCCGTTATGAGTTTCTGTGGGCAGGGTGAGGAACACTGTCTCTCTGGCCCTCACCAGTGTTTAGAGCTGGGAGGCCAAGGGTTCCCTGGGCTTGAACCCCCTTTGAGGACGTGCCCAGTCACGGCCAAAACCTCCTTAGTGGACCATGGGAAATCATTTTGGACCAAGGGTTTCTACCGTTGAATAGGGTTCAACAGGGTCCTGCCCTAGGTTGAAGCCCTTGGCCAGGATATGGTGGGGGTTCCCTTGTGGGTGATGCTGGAGCCACCCTCCCACCATGGGACTTCTCCAGTGCTCCCCACCCCCTGCTCACTCCCTCCCACCACTCTGTACTCCTAGCCCTGAGCTCGTGGTCCTCCTCACACGCCACGCTGCTTCTCACCTCTGTGCCTTTGCCCTGCTGCTCCCCTGCCTGGAATACTTTTTCTTTTCTTTTTTCCTACAACTGGCTGACTCCCAGCTCAGGTACCGTCTGAAGCCCCAGGCTGGGTTAGGTGCTCTGGGATACCCCCCCTCCCCATGTTTACCTTAGTCCACGGTACCATCATCAGCCAAAAGCTGGTTGGTTTCTCCTACTAGCCTGTAAGCCCTTTGAGGACAGGAGCAGTGTCGCGTTCATCTCTGTGTTCCTAGTGCAGAGCCTGGCTCACCGTCGGTGCTTAATAAAGTGTGTTGGTCTGAAATGCCCTGGACCAACCAAGGTTCCCAGACTTGGCTGATACCATTTGGGGCTACACTTGTCTTCTTCCCACACTGGGGCCTGGGCCCCTCACTTTCTGGGCCCCAAAAGGAACAGTAGTTGTCTGGGCCCGAGGAAGACTCCAGCCAGGTCCTAGGTACATTTGTGGGAGATGGGTGGAGGTGCCGGGTGGCGTAACTCCCTCCTACCCCACTGCTCCATCTGCCCTCCCCCACCCAATTAGACCAGTGCAGACATCAGCCTTCCCCTGCCAGAGCCTGCAGACCTGCTGACGTGTTGATCCTGCGGCTTGCAGCCTATTAAGGCCAGAAGTGAGTGTGACAGATGCAAATGCTGTGGTGGCCATATTTAGTGCCCCCTTTCCCAGAGCTGTTCCTACGTCAGAGATCGGCTCGTTAACTTGCTGCAAACCCTGAAGGGGCAAGAGAACGGTTGGGCAAGGTGGTGGTGAGCTGGTGGGTGGGTAGCCAGGCAAGATGAGAATGGCAGAAGCCTGCTGCTTCCCGGTTAGATGGGGCCTGGCAGGAGCGGAGAAAGGGGAGGGAAGGTATGGACCCCCACAGTGCTCTGTTACCCCAGTAATTGAGGAAATGGCTCTTCATGAATGTCTGTGGCATGCCAGACACTGCTGGGTCTGTGACACCCGAGAGAGTTAACATAACATCGAAGGTTCCCATCCTAGGCCTGGAGAGAGGGAGGGATTTGACCCAGTCAAGCCAGGCCTCTGAACTCTGCCCCCGTGCCCTGAGTCTCTTCTCAGGAGGAGCAGGAGGCCTGAGATTGGGGCCTGGCCCTGTCTCCTGCTTGCTATGATACGACGTCCTGCGTTCAGTGTCTGTTCTCAAGTGGGCTTCGTGGTCCTGGTAAATGGACAAGATGAGTGGAGTACAGTGACAACCCCTTGCAAACTGCAACGTTCCCAAGAATTAACTTCGTCCCTGACCCAGTCTGCTGAGCTTGATGTGAGATTGTCAAGAGGATGGCCGGGCCCAAAGGTGTGGAGAAGTCACGACTCCAGTCCTGCCGTTGCCCTGGTGTCGCCACGGCCCTGCTCCCGCTCCTCCGGGAGCCCAGCTCTCCCCGAGCGGGCGGCCTCCCCTCCGGCCGGCAGGTGGCAGCACCCGCCCGGCTCAGGGCCGGGCCTCCGCGGCGGCGCTCGCCCGGCGCTTCCTAACTTTCTCCCTCAGGGGCCGTGGCCGCCTCTGATCCCCGCCGAGCCGCTGCGGCGGGAGCGCTGCCTGGCCCCGGGCGCTAATTAAAAAGCTGCGTTGCTCGTCCGCGTCCTCTGCGCCCCGGCTCGCCCGGCGCCGCGGGGACTGAAGAATGTGTTTCCATCCCCATTTCATCCCCCGCGGGGGCTACGGGCGCGGGACCCTGGAGGCTCCAGCCCTCCAGCCGCGCGCCCCGGGCCGGCGCTCCGTCCCCGCTTGGGGCCTTTCCACCGGCAGCGAGGGCTGCACACGCGCCCGCCTTTTGGCGGGGTGAAGGCACAGGCAGGCCCCTAAAACCATCCGCTCTCCAGGCCGGCCCGAGGGTAATTCGCAGAGTTTTAGTTTACGAAGCGCATTCACGCAGTTATCTCCTGGAAATCCAGCTCTGTGAGGGAGACAGGGCCAGAATTTTACAGAGGCTCAGAGGTTGAGCCACGACCGAGCTTCTCTCCCAGCACAGTGCTCCTCCTGCTCCCTGCGCTGCCCCCATTAATCACGCCTGGGCCCTCAGCTGGTAATTGACAACTCTTCTTCAGATGTTGAGTCTCTTTCCTCAGGGGGGCCAAGGGAGGGGCGCGGGAGATTTGGGACACCCCATGATAAACCTCTATGGCTAGAAATTGAATGGGAGAGGGACAGACCTGCTGAGTGTCCCTAGTTGTCATAAAGGCACTTTGGGTCAGAAGGAAACAGCCCCAGGAGCAGGAGAGGGAATGGGGTGGCAGAGATGATTTCAGGCCATGGGCGGCATATGCGGGTCGGCAAGGGAGACCCCTGGAGATGGCAGGAGAGGAAGAAAATGAAGGTGTGTAGTGCCATGGGTTGTTTTCCTGCTCCTTCCAGGAAAGGAGAGACGTGGCTGGTGGCTCCTCCATCCCACCCACAGAGCTGAGGCTGCCCCCAGCTGGGACCCAATGCTTCCTCTCTTTGCTCCCCGCCTTCCTCATCCCTCCCAGTCATTCAGATTCCAATACAATTTCCAGCTAACCAGCATGTCGATAGAACAAGTCGGGCGGCCGGATTGCTGGCCAATTACAGGAAATCATTCTGCTCCACAGCTCAGCGCTCAGGGAGAGGCAGGGAGGGAAGAGATTTGAGGAGCAGGCTCCCAGCTTGCAGGCTGGGAAGGGGCTTCGGGCAGAAGGCAGGAGTGCTGCCACCATCAGAGGACGAGGGGGGAGGTGGATGGGGAGGCTCCTGGGGGCAGTCCAGCCCCAGGCTCTTCCTCAGCCTCACAGAGAGCTCTGGATCCAGCTTCCCTGTGATGGGGGGGATTGGTGCCCCAAGCTAGGGGGAGAGAGAGAGAGAGAGAGCGCGCGTGCTGGGGGCTGAGGGTGGATGAGGAGGGCCCAGGAGTCCAGGCATCTGGTTGGGATTGAATCGGATAGAAGTGGGCATGGTGAGACCAACTTCCCCCAGAGCCCTGTGCGCTGAGTGGGCATCTGAGTGCCCAGAAGCTGGGGCCCACACAGGCCAGACCTGTGCTGCCACAGCCAGCCATGGGCCCAGGGGCTCCTAGGGGTGTGACAGGGCAGAGAGGAGAAAAGGGGTTACAGCCTGCAGCCTAGTGGACTAGCAGCACCTCACCCAGTGACAGGGTAAGTCTTCCACCCCAGCAATCCTGCCACCCCAGGAGGCGGAGCAGAGAAACATGGGAGAGGCCTAGGGCCTCCTCACCTTCCCAGCGCTGCCTTACTTCCCACCTCTGGCCCTCAAGAAACTTTCACACAATTGAAAGGACCCCAGCTCCCCTCCACTTTGCATCAGTCTGAATCCACCCTGAACTTCTGTGCCTACCTGGAAGCCTCTTTGCCAGCCCCACCCCATCCCTCATCACATCTCTCCCAGAATTGTCTCCAGCCCTGCCCCAGGCTGTCCCACCCTGAGATACCCTGCCCCCAGCACCAGTGATGAGCTCCCCTTCCTGGCCCCTTGAGTCTTCCCTCAAAGTACTGGAAGATCCTTGAGGACCAGAAACTTCCCTATGGACTAATTCCACCCGGTTGAGTGCTTGTTGCCATGTTTGTCTTGAACCCCAAAAGGAGGCAACTGCGACCCAATGATCTCCTCTGCTCCAGGCTCTAGGAACCGCCCCAGGCCCTCTCCCCAATTCCCCACGATCTCACTGCTCCCTCCAATTCCAAACCCTCTCCTCAGACTCCTCCAGGGCTGGGACCTGGGTTGGATTCACCCTCAGCTCTTTGGCCAACCCAAGGGTAGACAGAGGGGCAGATATGGGAGGGGATATAGACTTTGAAGGCCAGTGCACCTGGCCCCCAGCGGCGCTCGGGAAATTTGCTGAGTTAATGCGGTTGAATGGTAAGGCCATCTTCAAAGTTCCTTTGGTGAGGTGCATGGAGAGAGCAGGGGCAGCGCCCTGGGACCCCTCCTTCCCCGGGGTCTCTGGCCAAATACATAGGCTGAGACTCGCGGGGTGGAGGGGTCGGGGCTGGCCTTGTGCGCGTCGCCGGCTTGGAGCATGACGGGGGCCGGTCCGCTTGGCGGAGCTAAGATTAGGCCGCGGCTCCCGGGCTCCTCGCGCCGCCTCCGCGGTCCCTCTCGCGGGCGCTGCTTCCCGCGGGCCGGGCGCCCGGTGCTCGGCGATCCGGAAGAGGGCGCCCGCCCGGCCCACGGCCGCGATGCCCCCCGCCCAGCGGCCCGCAGGCTCCGCGCCATCGATCGGGCCGCGGGGACGCGGGCGCGCCGCCTCCCTACCCCTCGCTTTTCGCTTTTAATTGAAGTTTGTTTGAGCAGAGCGCGGAGCGGGCAGAGGCAGAAACCAAATATTTAGTTGCTGCAAATTGGCACCTCAAGATCAATTACCCGGCCGGTGTCAGGGCCGGCGCCGCCCCCCGCG